CATCCTGCCTCATTAACATAGCTTCCTGTAATCCTGAATCATTGACATTATAGAGGTCAGGACTAGGCTATAGAGGACAATGGAATCAGATCACAAACTAGAGGATAATTATATAATACTGAAAATCACGGCCCAACCAAATTGACTCATGTTTGGAGGGTGACACAACTCAGTCCATAACCAAAAATGATATTCTTCCATGGGGATTTGCATTTGATTTTGGTCAAAGTCTATGAGCACTACCAACTTAATTCCACTTTAAGTAAAGTGTCTAAGTTTAAATTTGTTTGGAATATAAAAAAATAGTATGAGATTAAACCCAAAGACGTGAAAATAAGCAAGAGGTCATGAATTCATGTAGGAAACGTGTTCTTCCCCCGCCTAGAATCAGTTGATGGACAAGTTTTTTTTCAGTCTGTTTCTGTAGCGCGTAATGCTTTCTAATCCACCTTTTTGCTGTGAATGTAGCACTTCTCTTTGCAGGATTGAGGTAGCTCTGATCCTGCTTCCCACCCTGGTAAATCTCAGGCTGTGTATCCGCTCCTCGGCAGATTAACTATTGAAAACTCAACCTGAAGTTAATTAATGGTACCTAACAACTCTGGTAGCGTAGTGGTTACGAATCGAGCTGCGAACCACAAAGTCAGCAGTTCGAAACTACCAGCTGCTCCTCCGGAGAAAGATGAGGCTTTCTGCTCCCGTAAAGATTTACAGCCTCAGAAACCCTGTACAGGGTCGCTATGAGTCAGAATCAACTCCTCGGCACATAACAACAAAGATAATTCTAGATTTTCTCAGTGCAAGGCATTCAGTGTTTGCTGACTTGGTGTTTATTCAGTATCTGACTCTTATTTCTTCTCTGATTTCAAGTGAATTGTCTACCTTCTTAAAAGCTTACACATTGATTTAGAGGGCATCAAGTGAGAATCGTGGTGTGGCATTGTAAGATAAGCTCTGGTCTGCTAACTGCAAGGCCAGTGGTTTAAACCTACCAGCTGCTCCTCAGAAACCTCTTATACAGGCTTGTTATTAGTTGAAACCAACTTCATAGCACTTAGCCACCACCACAGGTGGTTCTTTGATAACCAAAGGTTAGATGTTAGGAAGAAAGGTCTAGTGAACTACTTTAAAAAAAAAACTAGCCATTAAAACTTAATGAAACACAGTTCTTATGTAACATACATAGGGGTAACCCTAAGTCAGAATCAATCGATTCAGCAACAACTCGTTTGTTTTGGGTTTTTAAAATATTTTAATCTTGCATTTTTGCTGCTTTCTCTTAATAAAAGGATTTTTGAATTCCTGGTTAATTTTATTTTTTGAAATGAAATTCTTACCTGCTGATTTCAGAAACACTGACATTATTAGCTAGGCTGATTTGCTAAGATTTCATGGTGAGCCTCTGAGGAGAAACTGGACAGCATTCATCTTCAGAAGACAAACCTCTTCCACCAGCTAGCTTTCAGCAGTCAGTTCCCCAAGTTCAGTTTCTTTATTTATTTTTAAGTTAAAAAATTTATTTTAGCATCTTTGCTGGGCATAAACCTTCTCAAAGGAATTAGAAATGTAATATAGATATGAGTGCTTCGTACACTTTCATCTACAGCTGAGATGCACTTAAACAGAAATGAACAAAGTGCTAGAGAGAACTTGAGATAATATGTATGAACACACTGAACATTGAATGTTGAGTGCAGGTTTGGTGGTAAACAGCAAACAATATGAATTTACTAGGCATCTATAGATTTTGAAGTTGTAATGAAAGTTCTTAGAATAAATAACTATTTGATAGAAGGCAAAGATAGAGCTAAAGTAAAATCAGAATTTTACCTATAAATCTTTTCATGCTAGGGGTGACTCTCCTTTTGGTGTTCTTTAGAAAGCAAGTGCTTCAAATATAGTTTGTCCTCTTTTTTTTTTTCTGTATGTAGCTTACCCATAGTGGTTACTGATAACCATACAGAAAAATTCGTCTCTGTCAATCCACCTCAATCTCTGAAAACTCATTGCTTCTGCATTTCTAGAGTAATTTATATAAATCTTCTACTATGTCACTTACCATGTGATGTCGTTGAAATACACTGTTTAATATCATTTTCCTCCTACACCAATATGCCTACTCTCTGATAATAGTTTCTGTTTTTATATGCTTAATATGACTTGATATATATTATACTTAAACTTTATAACTACTCTATGAGATAGATCATGTTTTTCCCAATTTACTGATGAGGAAACTGAGGCTTAAGCCCAAGTCATACAACTGGTAAGTAGAAACACCAGGATTTAAACCAGGTCTGACTCCCAAACCAGGGTCTTAAAAAATTTATGCTGTGCTGGCAAGGACATTACTATCTTTGTTTTAAGTTTTTATTGTGAACTGAGTGATAGTTTACATAGGAAAACATCAGTTTTACACTCACCATTTCATTGCAATGATTACAGTATCCTCCACACATCATCATTCTGTAGTATTTGCTTCTCTTCCCTCTGGGTTTTGTTTTTTTTGGGGGGGGGGGGGGGGGGGAGGGAAGGGATATACACAAAAATACTCAGGAATTTATAATCGTTTAAACCACCAAAGGGCACACATTCTGCAATCCTGCCACCTTTTAAAACTGTATTACTGACCTAGTGCCTAAAATCTCTTCAGTACATGTTACTGCTGTTGGTAGGTACTGTTGAGTGGATCTCAAGTGCCGGTGGCCCCATGTGAGAGAGGAGAGCTTTCCTGTAGGGTTTTCCCCCACACTGTAATCTTTATGGAGAAGAGCTCTGGTAGCACAGTGGCGAATCTCTCAGCCATTAACCCCGGTGCTTCATGGGAGAGCAGACCTGGCAGTCTGCTCCCAAAAAGCTTACAGCTGTGTAAGGATGCGCTTGGACTCTGCCCTGTAACATTGTTGGGAGTCGGCATCACTTGAACGGCACACTGCAGTGGTCAGTGTTGACAGAAGTACATCAGACATCTCTCTCCGCAGAGCCTCTGCTTGGGTTCAAACGGCCGGCCTTCCAGTTAGCAGCTGAGTGTGCCTGCCACCAAGGCTCTTCTTCTATCACAGGTGTTGCTGAGTCCATTCTGACCTGGAGCAGCCCCATGTGACAGAGTGGAATTGCCCCATAGAGTTTTTTCTCTGTAATCTTTATGGGAACAGATGACCGGCCACGTCTTTCTTGCACTCAGACACTGGGTAGGTTTAATTCTTTCGGTTAGCAGCCAAGTCCTTGAACACTATACAACCAAATTAACACACACACTACATAAAATGTGGTGGTTATATGCTGTAGAGTCAGTTCTGACTCATAGTGACCCTGTATAGGGTTTCTTAGGCTGCAGATCTTTACTGGAGCAGAAAGCCTCATCTTTACTCCTGTGGAACAGCAGGTGGTCTCAAACTGCTGATCTTGAGTTGACCCTGGGTTGAATCAGGAGCACCTTAGTCTTCAAACTAAGTCTTTCCTCTTTAAAACTTTGAAGCGGTCTTTTGCAGCAGATTTGTAGCCTAACCCACTGCACTGGCAGAGACCGATCCACTAGCCACTAGGAGTGACTAGGAACAGCTTCACTGGCCACTGCCCACATCCTCTTCACCCCTCAGGCCACCCTCACCAGCTGCAGGTAGAACGAGCCTCCTAGTGACGTAAACCCCACCCCATCCACTGTCAGCTATGTGCAGCAGCAACACAAGAGTCCCAAGCCCTGAATCCCAAGTGTCCGGAGTCAGCAGGGCAGTTACGCCAACTACAACTCCTGCCCTTACTTAGCTCCAGGGGGGCCTTGACAACTGGTCCCCATCAGATGTGGCCAGAAAAGAGCAAAGAGGCTTTGGGTAGCTATCACGCACACTGTGGAGATGGGGGAATGAAGGCTAGCTCGGGTATTTGGCAGATGTCAGCAAAGCCCAGTCAGACTCAGTATGTAAAATATAGTAGAGAAGTAATCATTGTAAAATTAGAACTTTTCTATTACTTATTTGTTGTCGCTAGGTGCGGCTGAGTCAGTTCTAACTCATAGTGACCCTATGCACAATAGAACTAAACACTGCCCGGTCCTGTGCCATCCTTATAAACATGGTTCGATTTGAGCCCATTGTTGCTGCCACTGTGTCACTCCATCCTTTTGGGTCTTCCTCTCTTTCACAGACCCTCCACTTTACCAATATGTTCAAAATATCAGAGACAAAGTCTCACCATCCTCGCTTCTAAAAAGCATTCTGTCTGTGCTGCTACTAACACAGATTTGTTTGTTCTTCTGGAGCTACGTGGTACTTTCGGTATTCTTTGCCAACACTGTAATTCAAATGCATCAATTCTTCTACGGTTTACCTATTGATTGTCCAACATTTACATGTAGATGAGGCGATTGAAAATACCCTAGCTTGGGTCAGGCTCTGCACCTTGGTCCTCAAACTGATGTCTTTGTTCCTCAACACTTCAAAGAGGTCTTAGGCAACAGATTTGCTCAATGCAATACATCATTTGATTTCTTGACTTACATGAGTGTTGATGGTTGATCCAGGCAAAATAAAACCTTTGACAATTTCAATCTTTTTCTCCATTTATCATGATGCTATTTATTGTTCCAGTGGTGAAGATTTTTATTTTCTTTACGTGTGATACAGCCCATGCTGAAGATCAAAGGTTGTGCTCTTTGATCTTCATCAGGAAGTATTTCAAGACATCTTCACTTTCAGCAAGTAAGGTTGTGACAAAATCAAAATACTTCATTCTATTTCTCACCTATCATAAGAGCCCTGTTGCTACGGTCAGAGTTGGGCAAACTGAATCCAATTTGTCACCTGCTTTTGAAACATCACTTGTTTATTTATTTTTTAACATATTTTCTCTGGTTATTTTCATGCAATAAAAGCAGATGTGAGTAATTGTTACAGAGGCAGAATGTTTACATTTTGGCTCCTTATAGAAATAATTTACTGACTTCTGACATAGATTAAGATTGCTTTACCAGGTGGTTAACTATTATTCTGCTCTGCTTCCAGGATCTTCAAGATAGATTTGATATTCAACCAGGTGATACTCGTCTGTATATAAATGGACTTCGTGTTGATACTGATGGATATGACCCTTTTAGGTAAGCATTTTAAATTACTGATACAAAGAACTATGGATTATATAAAGGTAACATTTTCTTGAAATAAACAACTGTCACAACACAAACAAAGTTAAAGCAAAAGTATAAAAGAAGTTTATTTTTGTGGTAGTCTCTCAGATGAAAGTTCCAAGCATCTTAAAATGTTAGAACTGGAGGAAACCTTTTAGATATTTTTCAGATGAGAAAACTGAGGTTTCTGAATCTCAGGCCTATACATATCCCTTTTTTCTAAACTGTCATTCTTTGAGGAGTTGGTTAATGATTTAGCAGGGAGATACATTAGGACTTGGTTGAGTAGTCAGAGAGTCCTGCATTTTAGACAGGATCTGCAAGCAACATGAGAAAGAAATTAACAGGAGGAGTGTAAAGGGTTATATCAAAAAGAAAATGTGAAAGTATAGAATGCTAGACACTAGTTCCTTACATCAAATAATCCCCAGGAAAAGTGCACTAGAGCAGAATTATTCCAGAACACTTAATTGTACTTCTGAGGAATCTGAATCTGGACCAAGAAGCAGTTGTTCGAACAGAGCATGAGGACACTGAATGTTTTAAAATTGGGAAAGGTGTGCGACAAGGTTTTGTTCTTTCACCATACTTATTCAACCTGTATGCCGAGCTGGGTTCTATGAAGAAAAACGTGGAGTCAGGATTGGAGGAAGACTCATTAACAACCTGTGATATGCAGATGATACAACCTTGCTTGCTGAAAGTGAAGAGGACTTGAAACATTTACTGATAAAGATCAAAGAGCACAGCCTTCGATATGGATTACATATCAATGTCACGAAAACAAAAATCCTCACCACTGGACCAATAAACAACATTCTTATCAACGGAGAAAAGATTGAAGTTGTCAAGGACTTCATTCTTCTTGGATCAACTATCAACACTTGTGGAAGCAGTAATCAAGAGATCAGACGACGTATTGCATTAGGCAAATCTGCTGCACAGGAACTTTTTAAAGTGTTGAAGAGCAGAGATGTAAGCTTGAGGACTAAGGTGCACCTGACCCAAACCATGGTATTTTCAATAACTTCATATGGATGTGAAAGCTGGACAGTGAATAAGGAAGATCATAGAAGAATTGATGCCTTTGAGTTGTGGTGTTGGAGGAGAATACTGAAAGTGCCGTGGACTGCCAAAAGAACCAATAGATCTGTTTGGAAGAAGTGCAGCCAGAGTGCTCCTTGGAGGCCAGGATGGCTAAGCTTCGCCTCTCATACTTTGGACATATTGTCAGGAGGGAACAGTCGCTGGAGAAGGATGTCATGCTGGGTAAGATGGAGGGTCAGAGAAAAAGAGGAAGATCCCCAATGAGATGGATCAGCCAGGGGGCATCATTGATGGCGTCAGGTGTGGCAGCGGTAGTGAGGTTGGCCCAGGATCGGGCATTGTTTCATTCTGCTGTGCATGGGGTCGCTATGAGATGGTTCCGACTCGATGGCACCTGACAACAACAACAACAACCACCAGCCATCGCGTTGGTTCTGACTCATAGTGACCTTATTCCCACCACAACAAATCACAGCCTGGTTCTACGCCAATTGCACAATTGTTGCTGCACTTGAGCCCTATGCTGCTGCCATTGTGCTAGTCTCTCTCACTGGGGGCAGTCTTCGCTTTTTTGCTGACCCTTTACTTTTTACCAAGCGTGATGTCCTTCTGCAGGGGCTGGTCCCTCCTGATAATATGTCCAAATGAAGTCTCCCCATCCTAGCTTTGAAGGAACAAGGTTGGCAGTTCAGACTCACCAGCAGCTTTGCTGGAGAAAGATGAGGCTTTTTGCTCCCATAAAGAAACCCTGTACAGGATTGCTGTGAGTTGGAACCGACTCAACAGCACCTAACAACAACACTCTGCCTTTAGACAATGCAGGTATAATCCTAATATCATAGTACCCTAAACAGTCATTTTTTTCTCACCAAGAAGTTTCAAATAGGTGGTTGGTGCCTGATTTTATCAAGGAGTAACATTCATTGTAATGAAACAAAGTATGTGATTTGTTGAATGGTAAAACTGGTGATCTGCCCTGTAAACTTTCTTTCAATCCACAACTAAAATTTTTTTTAAAAGAAGCAATGATAAAAAAGAAATAATATAACTAAAAATAATAATAATAATATCAGAACATGAGATAAATCTAATAAACACAATATTTTGTTCATATATTCAGTTGAATATGTGAGAGGACTTTAAAAAAATTGTGGAAATATGGAATTCAAAGCTAATGGAATTTTCCACAAACCTTTTGAAACCTCCTCATACTTTAGTTGAACTGAAATTAATTATTTATTTAGCTTCCATTTTGTTAGCAGTTTGGAAATAGGGATTTAAAAGAAAATACAAAAAAAAAAACAAAAAACCCAGAGGCAACAGGAGAGTTCATTTGACACTTGCTGTCATTTTACTCATTGTATTACACACTTCCATCTCATATCAACTGGGCATTCTGTTCTTAGTGGAATTCCTGACCCTTGTATTGGGAAAAATTAGTCACCTGAGATTTGTAGGGTAAGTTGTTGTTAGTTGCCATCAAGTAGGTTCTGACTCACATTTGTTCTTCTGGCGGTATGTGGTTATCTTCTGGCACTGTATCAGACAGGGTTCCGCTGCTATCCATAAGGTTTTCAGTGGCTAACTTCCCAGAAGTACTCCACTTCTCCGTCCTCATCTGTCTTAGTCTTGACGCTCCTCTGAAACTTGTCTATCATGGGCGGATCTGCTGGCATTTAAAATACCGGTGGTATAGCTTTCAGCATCACAGCAACACACAAGCCACTACAGTATGACAAACTGACAGACCATAAACTGACAGATGAGTGGTGGATGTAGGATAAGTCCTACACATGTAAAGAGGCGAGGCATTTATAGATGTTGACTTACAGACTTGGAGGGACATGCTCAGGAACCATGAAAACAGATGTACAATAGGGTGTGAAATGGTGTTTAGAAAGTTTTCGTTGGCAGCGCTCAGGGAAGTTTTCATGGCATGAACGTGTAAGTGTGTGGTTAAGAAAGACTGTAGATTATTCAAGAAATAATGACTCTGCCTTCTCTGCCTGGTAAGTAGTGATGTCTGGGAAGTCAGCTCCATTGTGGCTCCTCATTGATGAGATCACTGGCTATGGTTACCACAGTTCCTTTTAAGTGGAAAGAAAATATGTGAGGATATTCCCATCTTCTGACATCTTTGAGTACAAAGTAATCAATGAAGTCTCTCAAAACAAAATTAGAGTATGTAGTATAAAATTCAGTGTGAAGAAATAGATGAATTGAAGAAAATGATTTAGGTAGTAGGTAAAAGTAGAGAAAGAAAAATGTCATCATATTGAACTTATACCTGGGATGTGAAGACAGGATCTACGTAATGAGAACTTCAGATTTGTCCATTGGGGCAGGGAAGGAGGGGAGATTGTTTTGCAGCTCTTTTCATCTCCTGCCTCACTGCATTTTGGAGTTTGGTTACCCACCTTTTCTGTGCAGCTGCTGGGGCCCTTCTGAGCTCAGATTCTGGAACTAGTGGGAGGAGCCAATAACTCCATGCGTCAGGTCAACATGATTTCAATAAAAGCTGTACTCAGAAGGCAGGTAGGGCCAAGAAATTGGAGGAGGTGCATCAAACTTCGTCGTATATATTATCTACCTGTAGACAGCCTGTTCTGGCCCATCAAAGAGCGACTAAAATATATCTGCCACTAGCAGGCACTTCAATTACAGACTTGGCCAGTCAGAAATTGATTCTGATAAAAATGATTTTTTCCTTTTGGAAACCAACCTGCTCCTAGTTGAACAATGTCACTATAATACAAAGAATTTATAGTTTGGTAGGATAAATAAGTAGTTGCAGTGTGATAAGGTTTGTCAATATAAGATAAGCATTGAACTCCTAACCACAGGGACAGCAGTTCAAACCCACTAGCTGCACCACAAGAGAAAGATGATGTTTTTTGCTCCCGTAAAGATTTACAACCCTTTACTGGGTTTCCTTTGTGTTGGAACCAACTCGATGGCACACAACAGCAACAAGAAAGTTTATAATTCTGGTGATTAGAATGCAAGAGTTGGAAGACAAGAAGAAAGTTCAGTAGTTAGAAAACATGGTCTGGATGATAGAAATGATGCTGCTGAGCACATGATAGAATTCTTCCAGGCCAGTCAATGACTGATTTATCAGAAGTTTTTCAGCATCATAGTCAATGATTATACAGGCAAGCCTCTCTACTGGATACATTACACGGGAGACAAATTGGCATCTGGAAAGAGAAGGTGGAGAAACACAGTGTCATCGGTCAGTACAGCGCTGGGGCTTAGTGTGAAACAGACCTGTCTGTGCTCATTGGCAAGTTCACATTAAAACCAAAGAATGAAAGCAAGTCCTTGAGAGCCACAGTACAGCCTTGAGTATAGTCTGCCTGAATTTAGAGACCATCTGAATAGAGCTGACACTGGGGACATTAACCAAAGGCTAGAAGAGTTGTGAGATGACATACATGAAGAAACTGAAAGGTTACTCAAAAGACATGAAAGCAGGAAAAGACCAAAATGGGTATCAGACGTGACTGAAACTCGTTCTTAAGCACAAAGTAGTTAAAGTGATAGAAGAAAGGAAGCAAGAGAACTAGACAGAACGTTTCAAAGGACTACTGGAGAAAACTAGTTGTAAAGTATTATGATGAAATATGTGAAGTCCTATAGTTAGACAGAGGCAAAAATGATTAGCTCTATCAAGTAGAAAGAACTGAAGAAGAAAAATTAAGCCAGAAGTTGTATTATTTCAGAATTCTGTGGGTGAAAATTGAGTGCATCAGGAGGAAATGTAAGAAATAATCAGAGTGTACAAAAAAATTGGTATAAAAAATATGAGTATAAAAAAAAAACTGGTCAACATTCAATCATTGAAGGAGATAAAATATTATGAAGAACAATTGGTACTGAAGACAGACTATTAAACTGTCATTAAAGTATTGACAAGGAGCTGTGGTAGCATAGTGGTTATGAATCGGGCTGCTAATCTCAAGGTCAGCAGTTCGAAATTACCAGCAGTTCCGCAGGAGAAAGATGAGGCTTTCTGCTTCCATAAAGATTCACAGCCTGGAAAACCCAGTGCAGACTCACTATGAGTCAAAACCAACTCCACAGCATATAACCAGCCAAATAAATATTGACAATAAACAAAGCTCCAGGAATTGATGCATACCAGCTACAGAGCTTCAAGGAACAGATTGAACCCTGGAAGCACTTACTTGTCTATATGAAGAAAGTTGTAAAATAGCTTACGTGACCATCCAACTTGAAGAGGCCCATACTTATGCTTATTCCAAAGAAGAATGACCTAATGAAATATAGGAATTATTGTGGTGAAAATATACACGACAAAACATTCGCTAACTCTTTTTACATATATTGTTCGGTGGCATGGATTACATACATTCTTCATGTTGTGTAACCCTTATTGCCATACTTTTCCAAATAATTTTATCACCATTAATAAACACTCATGTCCCGGGAGCAAAAAATCCTCTTCTTCTCCATCCCAACCTTGCTAACTACTAATCTTTTGTTTTCTCTATATTTGGTTATTTTCATATAAGTGATATCAGACAGTATTTGTCCTTTTGTGACGGATTCGTTTGCTCAGTTCGATGTTTCCAAAGTTCATTCATGTTGAGGACTACATCAGGATTTCATTCTTTTTGTGTGTGACAATTATTCCATTGTCTGTAGATGCCAAAGTTCGTTCATGTAGTCAGCTGTTGACGGACGTTGTGGTTGTTTCCTCCTGGTGGCTAGGGTGAGCAGTGTTGGAGTGGACATTGGTGTGCCGGTCCCTGTGCTGGTTTTGATTTCAAAGGAGCTCTGTGTACAAAGAGCTTGGCATACAGAAAGAGATGATTAAATAGTAGTTCTGCGGTCATTTTACAGTCCTGGTATGGCACTGTAGGATAAGCACTGTACTGCTAGCCACAGGTCAGCGGTTCAGACTCACCAGTTTCTCCTTAGAAACCCTATACAGGTTCACTATGTGTTGGAACCGACTCCATGACGCTTACAACAATTGAATTATAAAGATTTATGCTGCCCAAACTTTTGTCAATAGGATTGTGTATT